ATTGTATAGCCTTTCGGCTCTTGTTGCAGGATTAACTAAAGGGGTTAACAAATAGGATCTAAGACCATAGCCACTGTCACCTGTAATAACAAAAAATCAATAAAATATTTTTGCAATTTGGATACGCACGAGTTTTTTTAGTCATATAGATGATTTGATAATGTTAATTGCTAAGGTTAACTCACTGTATTTGTAATTATTTTAAATAAGCCTTACATTTTAAATAAGAAATTGTCTAAGGTAAGAAAATGTTCTCCCTTAAAATATGCATAAGCCGTACTAAAAATGAGTGACGAGTTTCTGAACTCCCAAGATTAGAGGCAAGAGAGTATAATTTCTGTAGTATTTTAGTATTACACTTTCATAATAAACTATAATTTCATAAAAACTAGTTGGGTATTTCATTTTTCTTTTTATACTATTTACAAATCGGTATTATATTCCAAATGTGCCTCTGTTAATTGCAGTAAATGCAATACTGTCTTTTTCGTTAAACAAAAGCGTCTAAAAAAAGTTAGATCATCGAATTCTTCAAAATAATTTCTTCTTTGATAGATCTTTCGAGGAAATCCATAGTCTAATATATCAAGAATATCTTGATCGTCTTCTAACAAGATATCGTCATCCTCTCCTGAATCCATTTTCTTTATAATAAATCAAATAAACCAAAAATCTGTAAAAATCGGATAGATCAACCAAGACCTTAAATTAGAACAGTAGAACTGTAGATCGGTCCCTAATCAGCCAAAATTACCAGTTAATATAATCGTTGTTTAGAATACACTAAACGGTGTTTAAGCGACGGTACAACACAATTTTCAAACTAAACGACGATTAAATTTTTAATCACTGTTTAGTCGAACGGTGCAACCGGGGGTAAGGGTGACATATACCCGTCCTAAGGGGTTGAAAATATGTATTTCATGTGTTTAAAGATGATGATGATGATGATTGCTGTGATTTGTTCCTATACAGGACTCATATTTTCATGAAGCAACCGAGTTCAACCGCTTTGGGCAAGTGGGGAATTCTTGAAGGTATACGAACAAAACCTACCAGAACATTTTAATTGGTTGCTAGAATCAACTGATTTTTGATTTTGAGTTGATGCACTAATCCTCGATTGACATTTTTATCCTCTGTAAAATATTGCAGCATGTTTGCTCCAAAAATTTATTTCTTTTTCTTTTTGCATTAACAAAATTTAAATGCAATAATTTGGAAAATCTAATATTAATTTTAGTGAAACTTCCTGAGGAGTTGATTCTACGTGCGGGCCATATTTTGCAAAAAATTTGCTTCCTCTTTTCGTGAGATTGCTGATGAACGCAATTCGGACGAAAACAATTCCAAAAACGACCGAGCCTAAGACTTTGACTATGTCGATCAACTAAAATGTATAAAACGCTTGCAAATGAATTTAATATAAAAGAACATTATCGCTACTACGACGTTTGCAGTTAATATCTAAAATTGTTAAATATCATGGGAACAAAGATAATTTGTTGGCGCAAAAACTATAAATGCTACAAGATTGTACTAAAAGCCCAAAAATGTGCAAAAAAGTTTAGTGCATCAAGTCAAAAAAATTAGTTGATTCCAGCTCCCAAATCAACAGTTCTGGTAGTTTTCGTGCCAAGACACTCAAGAATTCACGACTTGAACAATGAGTATTAAATAGGAAATAAAATAGGTATAAAATGGAAAATTTACAGTGAGTTTCATTGAAATCCATTCTCCCGATATTTCAAAAAACGTTATTTTTTTAAAGAAATTTTGCCATCAATAGCAGTGGAGCTATATATTTTTTTTTTAATAAAAGGCAGCAAATCGAGGTCAAGAAGAACCAGTTACAAAAAAACTCATCATACTAGCTTCAGCAGGTTGCTCGAACGGAAGAAAACTGCCCCCCATGAAATTGTTAGAGGCATTATTATACATTCAAAGGAAATTTAGAGCACATACAACAGAATCAAGCAAAAACATTAAAAGGAATGAAAACCTACAAAAATTATAGCCATTTCTGGAGGCCTCACTAGTCGATTAAAATTTTGAAGAATCAAATTATTTTTCTAAAACTCATCGAATAAGTTTGTTTTTTATAGTTCTAAAAAAAGTAAGTGCATTTTATAGTTCTGAAAACACGGTAAATCTAATCTATAACGTTTTCTTATTGACGCCATTGTATCTGTTTCCAATTCGTTAAATGCCACTAAGTCAAAAATTCTTTAGTAATAAACTTTTAATCATTTACTTAAACAATACATACAATTGTTAATAATGTCCAAGCGTTAATTTGGTAATTGTTCACAATGTAATTAAATCCCAGTTACTTGAAGGGCAGATCGCTTTCCCTACCCAATCTGGGAGAGTAGGGATTGTAGGTGTTCCTGTTCAGGCGAGGAGGAAAATTATTAACGTGGCGCTGCTTAGAAGAAAGCGAATCCACATCTCCATCCGCATTATTTTCCAGATAACCGTTCAGAGACTCGCCTGACTCCCTGCCCAGTCTAGGAACAAAGTTGTGCTGTTTGAAAGCTGAAACATAACTCTTTATTACTCATGTATACACGTATACCGTGGTAGTCGCTTCCAGATAAAACTTCCTATATTGATGAAGAGCTAAACACTTTAACTGCAACCAACCTTCGCTGAAAGCCAGCACCACCATAGGGGTTTCGCGCAGCATATCCAACAGATTAACAGTCGGCTGGTCTGGACTATTTATGAAAATCTCGTTGTCTTTCGGGTTACGCTTCTTCCTACCAATACGTGGACCGAACCACATCGGTGATGACTCTTTACGTTCATGATCACCGGCCGGATCAAAACTATCTACTGAATCTGTAGCTATAGAGAAAATGTTTTCAAAGAAACAAAACGGTATACAATCACTAATTAATTATTAGCCCTCAATTTTGAGTTAAGTATCATTACAAGAAGGAAAACATGCACAATTGGAGTAGTTCCGAAAACACCCCGGTCCAAGACCTTAGTAATTTGAGGTATGGACCCGCTTTCTATGCATCATTTCTTTATTGCCATCGAATTGCAAACTAAAATTAATTTACACTCCAGGTTATTTTACGTATGTTCCGTAAACCGCATAAATATCAGAAAAAAGTATTGGGCAGACTACAGGCTGGATAATTTATTCACACTGAAGAAATTGGTCACCACTTTATCCTCTGGCCCACAATAAGATCATGAGAAAATAAATTTAAAAACAGCAATTAAAACAAGAAAATTTTCAGCCTTGAGGAAGGTATTGATATCGATGTGTAGCTCTTCTATACTGGATGGTCCAAAATTGAATTCATTTCTTTTCGAAAGATAGTCTAGATTACTTGGAGCCAAGTACTCATAAAAAATTTGAGTTTGTTTCCCGAAACTTGAACTATAAAAAGTGTACTTTCATCTTAGTATAGTTAAACATTGCAAAACTTGCCTAGTTGTAGAAAAGATTGTAGATCTAAAATTTTTAAAAATCACATCAGCTACAGTGCGTCCAGGTACAATTTGTTGACGAAAAAGTCAGTGTATTTGTGTTAGTTTTTAAAGGGTGCTCTTGAAGACTCGAACGTGCATAAAGTTTACCTTCCGTAAGGAAACTCAAACAGCTTCATGCGGACGCTCTTCTACATGAAAAATGCTTTCAACTATGGAAAGACATTGAGAGGTTTTACGCAGTAAAATTTCCGTAATCTCAAACTTTTCAAGAAAAAGCAACAGCTTGAAGAGCAGTCAGTTATCTGCCGCGTTATAAATTCTTTTGACCGGGAAAGTTTTGCATCAACACAAGGTTACTATAAAAGATCAACGCTGTTACAAATGATGAAAACTGAAATTGAGCAGATCTGTGATAAATGCTTCGATTTGGGGATTTACAGAACTAATTATGAACGAAAAATTTTAGAAATGTAATTTTGAGAGTTATTTTTTATTGTTAGTTCTTCTGTGCTCAGACTCAGAGCAATTGCGCACATTTCAATCACTTTTTGCATATTGTATGGATACAAAGTTGAAAACAACGTTGTGAATAAAATCAATTTACTTATCTTCCAGAGAAATAACTCTTTTGTTGAAATAACCAGTTCATTTACCGATTGCTGGTAAATGAAGGAGTTTGGCTTTTTGCGTAAATATCACAAAAAGACAAAATGTTGAATACCGTTCAAGAGAACTACCTCCAAAAATATGTTTGCTAAACTTTGAAATTGATGAACTACTGATGAATTAAACACTTACCATAATACAGGACAGCTATCAGTAGAAGGAAGCTATTGAGCACGCTAATCCTGATCATGGCTGGCAGAATGGCAATGGTCGTTTGCAGTCCATTTCCTGCAATGCGTCGTTTTATATACAATCTGAGGATTAGCCCCGTTAAAGTCATGTAGGTGCTGAAACAGCCCTCCTGGGGTTTGATTGATTTTGCAAACGTCCAGGGACTAATCTTACGAGCGAACATTCGTCAATGTTTTTCCTGCTGTTATTAAGACGTAGAGATTATGCAAAACAGCTTGTTGCCCATAAAGCAATTTAATGCTCGATAGGTGGTGTGTTATTGTGAGGACGATGTTTAATCGCCGGATTCGGTTTGAGGAGTTTTCAAAACCGAGAGATAGTGTCCAGATAACAACATATAGGCACAGAGTTGGAGGAGTTTTCACTATGTGATTTGTGTTAACTGCAGCGTCGGGATTTAAGTTCGCTCAGGATTAAATTCGTTTCAAAATTTATGTTGTAGAGAATTAGTTCTTCAGATAAAACATGACCATCGTCGAAGGAGTCTTGGTGGGCTTCTCACCAAAGTTGTTATATATTTTAAGGTTTCAGCTAATATTTTAAAGTTTCTAATCGACATGTTGCGAACTATTAGTGTAACTAAACACTGCCAAATGTGATTACACTTTGCCAAGTTATATTTCTGCTCAATTTTTATAAAACAGAACAAAGCCGTAAACACGCTTTGTTCTGTTTAAAAACTACCTGAATACTAAGGTCAAGGCTGAAGATCCGGTCCGTATCAACTAATAGTTGAAACTTTATCATTTTCTGTCAATTTTCTTGGATCTAATACTGAAACTGAAGAAGATATGCTGGAGTCATCAGAGGTACGAGATCTAAAATTGTTATTTCATTTAATTTTTGCCTCTTCCAAAAGAAATCTTCCGCGATTTGAGTCAACCAACAGTGTTTTACTGAAAAACTGTAGATTTTCACTTCATTTCTCATTTCTTTTTTATTATAGTGTTATTGCCTATCTAGTATAGTGTTAGTTGTGCAGTTTTTCCAATTCAAGAGTTTTTATCTGTTGTATCTTGACCATGAGATCTGAAAATTAAGACTGTAACTATGGATCATTCAGATCCGTAAAATATTGTCATGACTTGGACATGAGTAAAAATAAATTAAAATTTTTTTTCTATATTTCTGGTCGAATTTTTAAAAACTAAAAGTGGTTTTGGGTAGACAAAAGTACAATTGTTTCCTTATTTGAACTTCTGGTATCTGCGAGATTTTAATATTAACAAATCTTACATGTAATTATGTATAACCGTTAACTGTGTGATTTTTATGGAATATTCTAATAGAACTAAAATGAACTGACTGAAAATTATAATTTTTATTGGCTATACACATTTTTTTGTTAAGCTTCGCTCAATTTTTCATTAAAAATGTCATCACCTCTTCTTAACTACCAATATTATCATCCATCCTACTTTTATCAATAGAATCGGATTTATTCTATGTACGGAGCAGTAGAAACAGCTTGTTAAAAACTTTAGTTTTTCAAACATTTACTGGCTACTAAAATCAAAACGCTTTTGCCGGAAATTCCTTTCAGGTAAATAAGTTCCTCTTAGTAGCTATTGTTTATATTTTATTTACGTTAAGCACATTGTGGCTACCAGATTTTAGTCGGTATTGATGTGAAATTATCTCTACAAAACTACACTAGAGACTATTCAATTCTATTTCGTAAAAGTAAAAACTTTACGTTTGAGACTTCTTAAAATAACGTCTCTACTGTTGAAGAAATACACATAAATCTCCATCAGAAGAATCAGCAAACTTAATACAATTCCAACTAGTAGAACAACCCATGCAGGGTACAAGTCTTCTAATCCTGAGTTAATATTCATTGTTAATGAAGATCTGACGCATGCCGGTTTTCTTGGTTGCCAGAATAGTAATTCTCTTGCAAGAACTCCATTTTCCCCTAACCGTTGCAAGCTGAAATTTCAATCTTATAGAACTACATGCATTGTCGATTTAACAAAAAAGTTCTTACTGAATTATATTATTATTATTCTATATATAGTTAATTGTGCAGATTACATTACTATTCTACTAAAAGCTACTACCAATATTAGTAAAAAACGTATTTTTAAAATTTTTAGACAAAATTCTCGTATACGACTTAGAGTGTACGGACCATATACAGGGTGTACAAAAACTGTAACCTAAGTTTCTTAGTTCACATCCAAACCCCTAATTTATTTAGGATGGTTGGAGTGGAATTTGGAATTCCGAGTCTGGGCCACCCTAGTTTTGTTACCCATATTGATTGTTCCGTAAACATTTTCTTAAACATTTGACATATCAAAAACTGCAAAAAAGTGTTTGATTCCCCTGCTATTGATGGAAAAAGTTTTGTTTTTTAAATATCGGGAGAACGGTACGATGCTACGATGGATTGGATGGCACCCTGTATATTTTTTGAGAATATCGTTCTAAATAGGGAAGATAACATAGCTTTAGTTCAAATAATGTATTTAAAAAGTGGTCTAAAAAACAAACTATGAAGCGTCTTTAAGTACAACAATCCCCCTTAAACCGACTATACACGTATCCAAAAATTTACCACTTTCTCGAAAAATCCGGTTTTCATTGAGCGTAAAATGCTTATTGCGCGCCTGATCTGAGTTGTTGTTTATCTTTTCCTGTTTATATTTGTCCGGATTTTATTTGGGGCTACATAGACTTCCCCAATAAAAAAAATGTTAATCATTCAGACGAGTAAAACGGTAAATGATCGATCGTTTGCTATACAAATCGCCAAATTTTTTTGAAAAACTCGCAAATATTTGATGTAGATTGGCGGTTTCTTTGCCTGCCTTCTCAGTCGTGGTCATATTAAATCGGGAATATATCGCCTATTCAAATCCAATCCAAATATTGGCATTTTGATGCTTAAGTAACCGTGTGTTGATGGGCTAAGTGAACTTTTGGTGCAAGTGAATCAGAGCCGATACGGAAATGGAGCAGGATGGGGCCCCAAATGCAAAAACTTGGTAAGATAGATCTCCAATATACAGGGTGTCCGGAAAAATGTAGGCATTTTTGGAAACACTTAGCTTGAACTGGCGGAGGTTTTTTGAGAGCCAACCGATATTTTACGGTTTTTTTACATTCCAATTTCAATGGAGCTTGAAATTATTTCCCGTACATTAAACACCTTTTTTTTCAGGTGGCACGATACAGCTTTCGGTAAGTTTGGCTTTACATTTTCCCTGGAAGATCGCTTTCAGATATTGTTGACTTGTATTTCTTTATATATTATTGCATGCAATATTTATGCTACGAGGAACGGCGAAAAAGTATCTGGATTCTATATTGCGTTATTTCAATTTCTTGTTTTAATGCGAACGTAACAGCATAGATGTAAAACAAGTGTCGTTTTTGTGTGAATTACACTTTCTATTGTCTTGGAAGTTAATTTGTTGCATTTATGGATATTTTCTTTTGTGAATTATATTCTTACGTAAAGTGATAATCTATTCTGAACAGGGATTTGTTCCATTTGTGCAAATAACATTTTTTTACTCTGTTTTTCTACCTTTGCGATTTCATTTCATACTACATTTTCTTCTAAATTTCGATATCGGTTTTTCTGGTGCGTGATATTTATTATTGTTTAGCGACTTTTGTTGTATTTTAACTTGAAATCTTCAGTGCTCGATATGGAACAACGTAAATTTGGTTCCGCCAGCAGCAGCAGGTTATCCATAATAAGTATTTAAACTTTGACTTCATTGACCGATAGGATAATTTAATGGTCATTTCAAGGACTAGTTTTACGAGAAAAATTATGATATAGTAATTTTTGTGACCAAATAGTATTTGAAAATAGATTAATTTTCTATCGAAAGCCCATTTGACCAACTATTACATTTTAATTGACTGACAACAATTAAATTTTGACTGACAACAATTAAATTTAAAAAACTAAGAAATTTCCTTAAACTTACGTATTTTCGGTTGCAATTTGCGGGTATTTTCAACAGGTCAACCTGAAGAAGCGAGAAAAGATTCCAAAGAATCTAGTTTAAATAACATACATGAAAATAAAATTACTTGTATTGTTAATTGATTGGGGCTGATTTGCAAAAAACTGGGAAAATTATTCTAAAAGCCTAAGAGAAATTGCTTTAAACTTTAAGGTTTGAATAACAATTTATTTACTGCTACCAAGTTCATAACGTTTCACTCAAATTTACCCGAATATTTATATGTTTCCTTTGTTCAAACGTTTTATTTGGCCAAAGGTTAATTGTCAAATTTTACGAGCTGCAAACGGTTTAACATACACGTATGTCGATCTACAGATTATATTTCCAGGAATAAAATTATAAAGTAAAATTTTAAAGCTTTGGTTAATTTATAGCGGCAATACAATTTAGTAAGTACATTTTGCCTGTTTCTGAACTTCAGATTTTATTTGCACCCAAAACCGGCATGCTTTTTGTGTACTTTGTTTTTAAAGTTTGGGGTCGATAATCCGAAAACAACATATAAAAAACTTATTTCCAATTTGTAATTTATTAATTCCTTGATTCATGAAAATGTCAGTCCTTCAGTTGGGTTTAGCTATTAATCTATAGCTTTCGTTTGGATAATTTATTTAATACTATCCAGTATTTATAAAAAATAATTCATTTATAAGACAGACTTTTCTAATCCAGCTCTGAGACAGACACTATTATATTAGCCTTAAGCAAGAGTTTCTTTTTATCTATTGTTTTTCTTTATTCAGTAGGGTGAGTTTGAATAATCTTGCTCGAAACAGTTAAAGAGAAAGAGTATAACTATAATTATCAATTGACCATATGATTTAATGTTTCGAAGTAAACGATGTTCATCATCAATAAACTCTACCTTCCTCAGGAATAATTTTTGGATAAGTCAATTTATGTCTTTAGGATATTCTATTTTCGTTTATCTTACCATACATCCATAATATCCTTAATTGGTGACCATTTCTGGTAATTAGCATACATAAACACTGCTGGGAACAAAAAAATTTCCTTGAGTTCGCAAATCATTGCTTCATCAAAATGCTTCCGAATAAAAGGATAAGCTGTAACTAGTTCAATGTGAAAAGCATAATGTCCTTCCTTCATCAGGTTCATTCCCACATCACGGCTAAGAAATCCGGATTTATTATTAGCTAATACTCGTCTATATATCTCTTTGGTAATTGGATCTGTGGAAACCTATCGGTTTTAAAGTAAGTGTATTAAGTAAAGCAGGTATAATAATATTCATACTAAAGAAAGCTTGAATGTAATGGTTGTGGTTTATTATTACCTCCAATAAAGATCTGGAATATAAAACGTTTTCATATCCAATACTAAAACCATGATCCAAAATGCCTTGGATATTAGTTATGATACTAACGGGCACGTTTAAGAGGAAAGAAACCAAGATTGCGGAATAAAATTGATACACCAGCAATCCCAGAGTAAGGGTAACGAAAATCGTGATTTTACCACTCAACTCCCTTGGCATATCAGACATAGCTACAAATTAAATTGATTTTTTATCGTTCCAAATAGGCGAATTTTGCGTCTTTGTTTCCAAGTCATCGTTGGCCCAAAATTTCCAAGTTTCACAGAGTATTTGAATCTGCAACACTATTCTTTAAAAAAAACGTATTTACTGATTTTGCCATTTTCCAAAGTGTTTTTCTTTTCAAAGTCAGAGATTTTTTACCAGAATTACCATCCAATTTTTTATAGAAGCCCGACAAAAATAAATAGAAGTAAAATCGGACCCTCTTTACTTGTCTTACTCGGTACTTGTCTATTACTTTCTGATCTCACCTTGTTGACAAAATGCGCCCAGGGTACGAATAACACAAACGCCCCAAGAACAATCGACATTTTCTGTTGCATCCTGTTGGTGAAAACCATAACTAAATGCATAACTGAGCTTTTGGGCGAGTGTCAGCAACCATGAGGAAAGTATGATGGCAATCCAAATTTGGGTCGAAAGAGGTTTAACGAATATTTCATACGATTTTTTCGTATTCGGATTTCTGAACATAAATGCCATCCTGCAAGTAAAATTAATTTGTCTAATATGTACTGGATCTATGTGGAATGGCAAAAACCACCCTTGAAGTTGGTTGGTTTAAAACTGTTGAATTTTAGGAATTGCATTACTTCTCAACTGCTTTTGTACATTTTCTTTGAGAAAAACGATTTTTGTCTCACAACTACTACAATTTAAGAACTTAAATCCATGTAAAGCTCAAGAAATTTCTTAAGACAGCAGTTGAGCAGATAGACACAATTTTGAACAATAGCTAGCAGAAAATATGAAGTATTAGGTCGTAACATACGTTGCATTAACAGTTTACCTTAAGGGCCAAGTTCCCTTCCCATAACTAATAAACTTAGCTCTTTCGACTTTGGCAATTAGAGGCGACATTCCAAAATCAGCTGTCTTCTTTTCCAGAGCTCCTACTAGTCCATCCATTGTCCCATCAGGTTTAAAAAATCCCCAAGATTTCGTAACGCCAACGGAAACGCTGCAGGTATTTTTTATTTAAAACTTCCGCTTAACTTGGGCCAAGACAAATTTTTTAACATATTTTTTATTGGGAAACTGCTCTGGCAATCCTTTATGGACAATTATATCCCATATAGACATAAAGAGTGTTTACAACATAGAGCAACTATGAAGAACAAGAAGTTTGCTTGAAAAATTCCAAGAGTCCTTTCTTTCATTGTGTTTTTACTGAAAACAGTAGTTCAAATATACATTTTAAACATATTATTCCAGATCTTGAATGACAATTTCGACGCTTTAACAACGAACGCACAAACGAATCAAGCAATTCAAAAACGTAGTTAGTCAATAATTTTCGAAATGCTTTTTGTGCTAGGTGGATAATTTTACTTATATTCTTAGATAGGTATATATAGCATTTATTAAACATTACACATTATTGAAACCACTAGATAAATTCTTCCTCCAATAATAGAGTGAGCTTATGTAGAATGTTTCAAGCAGACTCTTCAGTTGCAACCTGGCTAACGCTTATTGCTAAAGTATTAAGCAGATGCTCGTTTTCACGTGATAGAAATACCTTTGGAGCAAAAACACAGTATGATAATATGAGAGGGTGTAAAGATCTGTATCTGGGTATATTTCATTAATTCTCTAAGATAAATAAAAAGTCCATGAACAGAAGGTAATACCTGAAATTGTAATATTCAGTGCAGTATTGCATCAGCCGGGCATGAAAGCGATTAAGCGTGTTTACTTCGATGTTTTTATCATTTACCATGTAACTTTTTAAAGGTTCATCGAAAGGTTCAGGCAGCTGAAAACATTTCCTTTCGAATATTTTTTTGCAGAATTGTAATTCTTAACTTACAACTACGACACTACTAAAGTGAACCCCTGTAAGATTTCTTCGCAGAAAATACTTATTCTGGACCTCAAAAATTTCATAACCACTCTGTATAGTGTACTGTCCTACTCTGGACATTTTCAAAACTCCACCTTTTTCGAACGCGCTGTTGTACACCTCATCAATGGCATATTTCTTTCGCAACATATCTGATTTGGTGACTGGATATGCTACTTTAACTTCGGAGTCTACGTTTAAGTTCACATTGGTGAAGAGATTTTGATAGCTGCTGCTATTGTATTGGATGAGCCAGAAATGCTTAGTATCGAAAACTTTATACTTTCGGCACTAAAAGTGAATGTAGGATAACAAGTTTGTTTGGTCTTAGCTAAACGATATCGGTCATGAAACTGGAACTTAGCTAAACAACAACTTGGAGTATAAAGCTTCAAGCCAAAAATGTACCCTTAAAAGAAAAGCTGGCGTCCCTAAGCAATCACCATCCACCACAATGCCCACTCGTCTATAATTCATTATCAGATTACTCAACACATTTAGATTTTCCATATGCTTCACAGATGTTACTGTGTCTTTTTCTGCATTTATTTTTCTCGCAAACTCCATTTGCTCTACAAACCAACATTGACTGATTGAAGCTTCACTTCCACACTATCTATAGTAATATCACGAACCATTTTTAAGTGCACACACTAGTACAACATTGGATTGCAAGCTGCGACTTTTAAAAAATTTCAACGCCAAATCTGCGTCCATAAACCCACCAACAATTATGCTGCTATTGCAGAATATTGCAACTAGAATGTGCAACTTCATGATTGAACTGTGCAAAACGATGAAACCAGGAAAGTGTAGTTGAAGCAAATTAAAACTACTTAATAAAAAAGGGTCACTTTTATATATAAGTTATATTAAGTGGTTTTAAAAAATATAACGTTTTTGCGGTTTGTTAATCGATCGTTGCTGCACTCTGAAACAGACAAGTTTGAAATATTAACGACCTGTTGGACATGATACGGCTTTTAGCTGAAATGTATTCTGTGGTCAGTTTTTAAGCAAACATGACTGAAGAAGAATTATTTTTTGGCATCCTCAGTGCCCTCAAAGTTTCTAACTGGAGTGTTACTTTCAGGCTAATTTCAGCTGACAAAAACTTCAAAATTTTGAATATATCAATTTGAGAGCCTCAAATTGATATATGTACTGTTAACATTAACTTTTAAACTGTATTTTACTCCGTTTTATCTGCCCGCTTTTTTTTGGGTTTTCATCTGTCACGTTAATTTTTATGATAGGTAATACTGCAAAGGCAAAAAATTAACTTATAAATGCCGACCACAAGTAGGAATAACACGTATATTTTGCAGCAGTTCAAAGTTTATAAAAAGTTGGGAAACCATTAAAAAGAGGTTTTAAGAACATATTAAACCATTGTATTTGTGAGAAACTGGGTTTTATAACTAAAAGCATATTTTCAATTTTTAATGCTAAATATTATTCAGGGTCTTACTTTTCTTCAACTTTCGACTTTTAACAAAACATTAAGAAACTCTTCTTGGAAGCTATTAAAACATGCCAGCAAAGTTTTATACATTTTAAAGTTTCTTAATTATTGGTTGAACAGAGGATTTAAAATGTTTTATGATTGCATATTTTATTGTTAGTGCGGATAGAAAACAGCTGTCTATGTTTCATTTAAAATTTACTATCTACAATTCGTGAATTAAAATTATCAGATTTAATATTTGGCCATATTATATTAAAAAAAAACTTTATGATTCTTGCTATTTCTGCTCCATTTTAAGAGGACCTTTTTAAACCGTGAAGTTGAAGTATTGGAAGAGAAGCTTTAATCCTCCATCTTATGACAACAATAAGTTTGAGTTTAAATATATTTGAAATAAATTTATTACAGATTTATAGCTAATCCATACAATAAAAACGTGCAGATATTTATCAAATAGAGTAAATCAACTTGCGTTTACTCAAAACATATTGAACTAACTGATGCTATAAATTGGTGGTTTGCTGGGTTTGGTGTCGATGTGAATATTTTCTTAATTAGTAAATGGAAAAAGAGCGAAATTAACAGCCAAGTCATTGCGTGCATTAATTCGACTAACAAGAATTTCTACAAACAATACCATTAAACTAAACGCCATTCCGATCAGCAAAATTACTAAAGCTGGATAAAAATCTTCTAAACTGGTGTTGACTTTTATGGTTGATCTGGATCGCATACATTGCGGTTTTCGTGGGTGCCAGAAATATAGTTCTCGAGAAACCACACCGTTTTCTTCCAATCTGTGGAGGCTAAAAAAATGACAAACTTTCAGTTAGAAGCTTTCCATGTAAAGTTGTGTAAATGTATCTGTTATTCAATCATGTTTTCGAATGGACTCGGTACTCAACAGTATCACCATCAAATGTTTCTCAAATATCTACTATTATTTCATTTTTTAAAAGGCGCTTACCATGCATCCAGAAACTCTCTGAACGGCGACCATTTTTGATACCCAGAGTACATGTACATAGCAGGAAATAGCGAGATTTCTTTCAGTTCGCAAATCATAGATTCATCAAAATGTTGCTCGATAAATGGATATCCTGTTACCAATTCCACATGAAAAGCATACCGTCCATTTTTCACGAGCTCTAATCCCTGTTCTCTTCTCAGGTATCCTGTTTGGTTTTTATTTGAGACTCTTCGGTAAACTTCTTGAGCTGCCGGATTTGTTGCAGCCTGGAATTAAGTGAATTTAGTTGATTTTCTCTAAAGTTACTCTTTAGTTGAATTTGGAAGATATTAAATAAAACCTGACAACGATACCTTTAGTAAAGACATTGCATATAGAACTCTTTCATAGCCAACATCAAAGCCATTATCCAAAATGTCTTGAACAGTGCTCAACACGTTAACGGGTACATTCAATAAAAACGACACCAAACTCGCTGAATAAAACTGATAAATCACTAATCCACACCAAAGAGCCACTATAGCAGAAGTTCTACCGCCTAGGCATCTGGGAACCGAAATAATTCCTAAAAGATACGCATGTGATGTAAATTATGGTTTCGAACTTTATGAATCAGTATTTTTCAATCCTCTTATGCCCCAAGTCTATTTAAAATTAGAATACCTTGTTGGCAGAACACACCAAATGTACAGATAGTACTTAAGCTCCAGGAAGTATCAGAAGTGCGTTCTCTGTGGTTCTGGACATCTATGCCATTATCCATTTCGTAACTTAATTTTTGAACAATTATTATTAATATTGAAGACATGACGATAAGCAGCCAGACATCATCTGATAGGGGTTTAGCAAAWATTTCAAACGAACGTTTCGAATTTGGATTTCTGAAGATAAATGCCATTCTGYAAATTTACCAAAGAAAATAGTTGTTCAGTTCTCTCGSTTGCTTATTTATTRAATGGYCAAGTCTGAAATATTTCTATTATTAATTGACTAGAAAATGCTGCATTTTTGTTTTATTTTGTAACATATATTATATAATTAAATTAATTAAGTTAAATTTACAATTTCATAGTGTACGAAGATTGAATATTTCAATAATAATTTTTTGCAAATACTTTTGCAATTAACATTTAATTATTTCTGGCAGTCTACAATACTAAAATTTGCACGAAATAAACAACATAACGGTATAAAATGTAAAGCCGTTAAACGACAACTAATTGAAAGAACTTTCATAATACTTTAAATAAGCTCTTTAAATAAAACATAGCTTTGATAAGAGRCAGAAAAGGTTAATAATTTAGACATACTATGAATCGGGTGAAAAATAATGCAGATACATGTTTATACCAAAAAAAAAATTGGTTTTAATTTAATTGAGAAATTATGAAGAAGAACTAGMAAATATGTCTAGGGCGTAAATCACTTGGCAAATCTTAACATTAAAAATTTAATTATAATAGTAGAAAAGTTAAAAAAGCAACTATTATACAACAAAATCGAATAAGATAATCATCGTCGTGAAAGCCCATGAAGATAAGCCAGAAATTGTTCAATGATCCAATCAGCATCATTATTAAGAGTGATTCAACTGTTCAAGAATTTAATAATAATTAACTATTATTATTATTAAATATTTCAAAACTGCTTAAAAACAAATCGAGTTTTATTAACATTGAGATTGATACTTGACTCATACAATTAAATACATTTAATCGATCTTAAGAAGATGATCAGAAACTACAACCCTTATGTTTAAATTCATGATAAAAATCATTTATCACTGCCACAAACAAATTTTATCGCATATATGAAGACTGTAACTGATGGCAGCTTAACACCCGAACTGGATTTAAGTTTCTGCCGAAACTTTGCAGGAGATGTATTTAAGCCATCATCAGCATTTCATCCATATTTAACATAAAATTTGTCCGCGTCGTTGATAAATTGAGTACATAAAAGCAAATTTAAACTTGGTAAATTACCTGTGTAATCATTGGTTGCGAATGGAAATACAACGTAAAAATAAATACAAATTATATGAACAGACACCATGAACTATTTATGTATGACTACTGAAACTTTTCATGGCGTAAATATGTATACAAATATTTCAGCTTTGCATTAGAATGAATGCACTAATGGCGCAAGTAAATATTACATATTTTATATGTATTTTCGGAGAAAAATATAAACAGAATAGTTTAGAATTTTTTTTGTACCATGATCGTTAATTTTGATGTAGCTTGGGAAGTACAGTATTTATATTCCTGTCCTAGAACAAATTGAAATTAATGTTTCTATAAAACAGGAACTTACCGCAAAGGCCAAGTTCCTCGGCCAAAGCTAATAAACTTTGCCCTCTCGGTCTTTATAACCAACGGAGAAGAACCGAAGTCAATCAGTTTTCGTTCCAAGCTTCCCACTAAGCCGTCCATAGTTCCATCAGGCTGATAGTATCCCCACGAATTAGTAACTTCAACATATCCGACACTAAACAAATTAATAATTAATAAAATTATTCCTGGAATCAGAAACTCATTTGTCGTTGGCAAGTATCGAATGTAAAACCATAGGACATTAATGCCATAAGTAATTAATTTAAAATTACTGGCTAGGTATTAATAACACTGATTAATCTTTGTTAAATTAATGATCTCCACTTAGTTTTACTAATTCTAATGATGAAAATTTAATCCGTGTAATCATTGCTTTTAAACCATTTTATAGGTAGTAAATTAGTACTTATTACCTGAAATTGTGGTAATCTCTGCAGTATTTCAACAAACGGGCATGAAATCGGTTAAGACTGTCCACTTCAATGTGACTGTCTTTTAATAGATAATTCTCCAATGGCTTTTCAAAAGGCTCTGATAGCTAACAAAAAAATGCAGCATTTTTATGTTTTTACCGGGTGCACACCGAAAGCTGATATGCATTTGTATGGCAATATTTAAATGAATCCATCGTTCCAGGCTGATTAGTAAATATTTTGAATCAGTGTATAGTTTTAGATCTTTGTAAAAAAATTCAAGGAGCGAGTTTTGTATCGAATGGAAAAACCGTATATATTTCAACATTCATTCTGTTTTATTCTCGAAATAAAACCGTTTGTCATGCATCATGACCAGCCTATTGATTACACTGGAAGCGCCAACATTTTAGTCAAAGTCGAGATAAAAAAAGGGATAATCGAGGCCTCTATCTAACTAAATCTTAGGAACGTTAAAACGTTTCTCCGATAAATAGAAACATGTTTAAGATTCAACTTTTTTGAACTTAAAAAAACGGATAAAAACTATAGAGGCAAGAGAAGCGCTCGAGGCGCTCTGTCGAAAGAGGCGTCTCGATTATTCCGATGTTTTTGCTCCATTTGCAGGCATAAGTTCTGAAACTTTGGCAGCCTTCTTTAGATTTAACATATTCAAACCAACCTCTTATGAGTTGGAAATCTCTGCCTAAACCACTTAGTGAAAGGCATGCGGTTGCTATTGGCTCTATTTCGATTCGACCTTACCACCATGCAAAAACTATGGGATTTCAGCTGCTTTTACTTACGAAATCTCAATTAGCAACGAAACAAGTTAACTCTCCAGTAACCCTTCAGTGGCTAGAGTTAAAGTTATTTCGAACCATTCTGTGTAGCAAGTAAAATTAACTTTTTAGTTCTTTAAATGGTACACTTACCACCACGAGACTCTTGAAATGGACTCCTGTGAGATTTCGACGTACAACATACTTGTTTTTCATTTTATCCATATGGAATTCATTATTGGTGCCATAAGTGCCGGTTTTAAACGATTTTAAATGCCCCCCTTTTCCATAAGCTGGATTATAAACTTCATCCAAAATATAGCGAGTTTCATCAGTAGTTAGATTTGTGGAAGGGTAAGCAACCTTTACCTCCGAATCTATGTTGAGATTAGCATTTTCAAAAAGATAACGGTAGCTGCTGGACGAGTGGAGCACCAACCAAAAATGCTTTGTATCAAATACTTTATACTTTTCGCACTAAAACAAAAATGTTTTTTGTCTGAGCTATCCCTTGCTTAAAAACCGCTAACTAAACATCCATGGAATGAATACAGTTTGAAAAACGTTTTTATCGGTAGCTTTTTATCGGTTTTTTTAATTATATTGCTTATAAGGTTTTGGCTCCGGTGCTGTAAGAACTTAAGAGGCATATTATTGAAAAGGTTAAGCATACAAGCATTCAAAAGCACTTGGCTTTTCATGTTATTTTATTGAATTACTCTTAGTGTTTGTTTAATATTGGGGGGGGGGAGATTGCCAATGATTCACTGCTTTCCCTCACAAGTGTTGTGAAGTCTCAGGAATTACATTTTTGATGATTTTCCACACTTTCTTTAGTTCCTTCTACACAAAATTTACGATCGATATACAGAAGTGAGCATCCTTGCGATTAAAGCAAGGAAACTAAAAGTAATTACTTACTCTTAGCAAAAACGTTTTAGCATCCATGCAGTCTCCATCCATTACAATCCCCAATCTTTTATAGTCTGAAACAATGGTATTGAGAACATGCAAATTGTTCATGTTTTTCATCAATATCAGAATATTTGCTTCCAAATTTACTGTTTTCTGATAATTCACTCGATCTATAAAATGTATGAAAAAACAATTTTGAATGATTAAATTGAATAAAATTAATACCTTTTTTATTGGCGCAAGTTAAAAGAACGTTGTGCTGTAAGCTTCGTGTCTTGAAGAAATTTATTGCTAGTTGCATATCCATTAATCCAGCTATTAAATGAAAATGAGCGCCACAAAGCAAAAAAGCTTTTAGAAACCATTTCGACTGCACCATTCTTGTAACTGAAATTACGTTAGCTTCTGAATGTGCAAGTCGAGTAGAAATTGAACAGAAACAACCAAATCGCTGCCATTATGTGGATACTTCAGAAAAGTTTGATCGGTTATTACAACTAGACAATATGATTGCCTGTTACAGTCAATAAAGGAGATTTGGTATCTTAAAAATAAATGAAAAATTAGTTTCCTGAGCTAATGGTCGTTGGTAAATTGCGTGATTACCATATATGATCACATATCAAACAACACTATATGTTTTGGATCACAAAGTTTTCAAGAATTAGAAGCGAGTAATAAAGTTATTGTTAGATTCATTATACCCGGTAATATAATAAGCGAGCGCGATGTTTTCTCAACAAAAACTGACGCTTTCGATTAAATATCCGATTAAGCCAAGTGAAGAGCAATATTGGGCTATCTTGTTGTGCCTAAATATTTACTAAGCTTGGTTTTCAGAAATATTGCGTAGTTTTACAGTGTGTACCTTAAGTAAGGAAATGATTGGATTTTCTCATTTGGAATTTGTTGTAACAAAATATTTTAATTTATCCAGAATAGGATAATTTTGAGGAATTTTGTTATAGTTTTCCCAAAAAAGTATTTTGCTTTTTCCCAAACGAAATGTTTGAGTTTTTCTAACAAAAGTGCCATAAGAAGATAGTTCATTTATTCCTTACATAGTGTATATGTTACGCTAAAATATTTTAGATGGAAAAGTGATGAAAACAGAACACATGAAGTCCATATACGTTTATTAATTAATCCGCTGTAATAGATGTTTTTTATTAATCTATTCAAATAATACTATACAACTAACAATAAGGCCGTTTCTTATTCCCTTCTCATTTCACTACTGTAGTTGGTCCATTTTGGAAATTAATTTCTCACTCTTCTCCTTAACTTTAATTTGTACTTAAATCATTGAATGATTTAAACAAGAACATTTGGCACAAATGTGCATATACAGGATTGATTACATTTGGTTTCAAAAAAAGTTCTCCTTATAAAAGGTCGACTTATATGTGACATTATTTATGGGTAATTGATTGTTTGTTGTTCGTTTCCAAAACATTTTTGCATTTCATTCATTGGCACTGATTTTTTTTTCAATAAATGAGTTTTCATAGAAAAGTCGTGAAGTTTTTGATGGGAATGTATGATTAACAAACTTTTACTAAACACCCAATACATCATTAACAATTTAAAAATTATTATTACTGATTAGGAAATTTTCTCTGTTATTTAATTTTGTTTTCTTATTTATTCGTAAAGTTTATTCAAAGCCCCGCTTTCGCATCCTTTCATATGATATTTATTTTTCTGCTTGGCATTTTCGACTCTTCCTGTTGTGTATACAGTATTAATTTTAGCAATATTATTTCTCTTACATTTTTAATTCAAACCCATTTTTTCAAATATAAAATTTTGTTCTACAAGAAAAAAGCAATTATTTTCCAAACTGGGAATTAGTTGGATGAATAGCCACCAGTGATGGAAAAAATCAAATTAAATAATTTGAGTTATGAACAGAATCGAATTAATTTGATTTAAAACATCTATGAGAATGGAGAGAGCGATATACGCTCTTATTGATACGAAAAAGAGGATGAAATACGAGACATTTTATCTAAACTACTACGTGTAAGCGTAAAAACTCGATTTGCAGGACCTTCAGATGTGGATAAAAGATTCAACAAATACAAATATTTCGATATCAAGGAAAGATCTAGTATGAGACATGCTTTTGATCCAAAGCAATTGGAATGAAAGGCGACAGAAATGGACATAAAGTTTATATTTTAATTAATTTTACTGATTTCTAAGTTGGAGAAGGAAAATTAATTTTTTATGTAGTTCTTAGGATAAAAACTTAGAACGTTCAAAATATAAGATCCATTTAATTCTGCTAGCAATGGCAGCGAAGACAAATTTCGAAATAAATTTTTCAACTTCTCGATTAAATTTTCGTTTGCCGTTAAGGGTTATTATGCCCCTTCTATTAGATAAAAAAAAATCTGTCGAAAATTGCTTTTAAAACATCATCTATTGAGTCTCATGATATTTTTCAAAAATAAAGGCAAAAAATGGAATGTTTGTTTAAGGTAAAAATCGCACTTTTAAATGGTCACTTTTATTTAAATTTTAAACCAGGGATAATTTGTCAACCAGTGAGTGGCTTATTCAGAATTCCTTCACGATAACACAAGGTTATTGACTAAACCGCCTTCACTATCAATTTCAACTTTCGCCCATTGTTAGCAAGTTTAGTTTTGGTAAATTTCGCTTTAATGCCTCCATTATTTCTAATGTTTCGCATAATTTGCTTCACAGCCCTCTTGCAGATCGTTTCTGATTATGTATGTGGCTAACAAAAGGCAAATGCTAAATATATTCCACTCAAATCGCTGATTCATCGCCGATAAATTTCACCCAAATTTGAATAACATATATTCGATTTATTTGAATAATGGAATCAATTGAGAAATTATTTAATCGTAAAATGTATTGGAAACTGGATCCATCGGAAAATATGCCTGTGGTGCTGTATGGAAAATAGGAATTTTACATACCTAGATTTTTTTTGCTAATTCCAATTAAAAACGACATTGCAACATGCAAAATGTAGAAATATACTGGTTGCTTGGTTTGAATAAAATAAAAAAATGATAGATCAATGCCAGTTCCACAGTTGCTTCTGTATAACCGCATCTAACTGTACATTTGTTCCATTTATCATCAATGAACTATTTATGAATTTCTAGAGGTAGAAAACGTATTAAATTTGATGTCAATTGCGAATTCAGGTTTTAAAAATGAGCGACTTTTTCTTCCTAGAGATTAGCAGAATCCTTAAAAATATCCTTTTTGAAACCTTTCTCGATGAGTCTGGCTCCCCGATTATTTAAGGGCAAATCGCCATTAACATCAGTCAGAGTTGTAACCAGGGAATTTCTGTTCGTATTACTCAACTTGCTTATGCTTCTAACAACGCCGTGTGGTCGTCTAAAATGCGCGCTATAAGGCAGCGGCTTTCCCCTGATGGCACCTCGACTCGAATATGCATGTTCTTTGCACATCCCCATTCGGCCCATGAGAATGAAAAAGTCCTTTCGGTATTGTTGTGTTAAAATTGCATACAGGCAAGGATTGGCACATGAATTAAGTGGATAAATGAACACTAGAATGATTTTCGTTTGGGTCACAGTGATAAGTGGATATCCCAATAGAGCAGTCACGCCGAAAAAAGCGATCGGTGAGAGGCAAACAAAATCGGTGAAAACTAATAAGGCCATTTTTTTCGCCACTGTTTGGTCGTTGCGAACGGAGTTTGCTATTCCTGATTTTGCACCTGAAACAAAACACATTATTTGTTATAGCTGCACCAAGTGTTTTAAAGGCTTTATAACAGTATTTTCATTTCGTTCTTACTGAATAATAACTTAACTGTAAGGATTGTTGGATTTTTTAAGTAATAATGGAGATTTGCAATTGAAATGAAAAAAGATTCAATACCAAATATTCTTTTTTTTTTAATCGCAGGCCCATTTTTTGCATTTTTTGCTATACATTTTGCTGCCCAAGGACAGGCCCAACTTCATTCTTAATCTGCTGAAAGCGAAGCTTCAATATTTAGATTCAAAGTAATGAAAATTTTAAGTATAAATCATAGAAAATCATTAAAAATCTAGTGTTGTATTCATTTGCTAAACTAGATGCAATTCCGCCATGCTTAGACGGTTGAACTTTAAGGAAAATGCAAATATCGTCAGAATGCATCTTTGCTTTTCTGCCGCTTTTGAATAGAAGAATTCATATTCTGTTAGATCGCGTCAGTTTATCTAAGCGCATAGAAAATTTTCTGGATAATAATAAACCGGCTTTGTGTCTTTTTGAATGTAGGAATTTGTTATTCCGATTATACAGGGTGTCTTGTAGGAACAGGGTCAAAAGGCTGCGATGTTCTTTAAAGAATCTGAGAAATTAATGTGTGTCTTATAATTTTCTCTAATAAATATTCCAAAACTTTTTATTTAACGGAATTATTTTGCTCTCTTTGCAAAATCTTGCAGCAATTATTTCTGTTCTCTTGCCAACTGAAAATTTTAGACATTCATTAACAAAACTTAAATTAGTTTTTTTTGTAATGGCGGGAGAGCGCTCAGGTAAATTTTAGCTAAACTTGCTGTGGATTTGTTCCTACATCAGGGCCATTTTTCGCTAAACACTCGTTTGTCGAGTTTTTGTCACACATTTTGTCGGTTAATTCGAAACCATAAAACGCTTACAAATTAATTTATAATTAAAATACATTATCGCTTACTGCGAAAATACTAAACGGAATTATTTT